TTACGTTTTACTTTTAAATTTAAACTTTTATCACTTGTTGAAGCTGATTGTTTAATATTAATTTCAATATTTAAATTGTTGTCATTAATATTTTTCATCATCCTCACCCGTTAATTTAAGCTTCTTATAAATCTATCCATTTTTAAATTTAAGTACAATATTTCTTGATCAAAATTATACAGGTAACAATTATACGTGCACGATTATCACTATACTGAATAAAAGTTACTCAATGACCGCTTGAAATACCCGTATAGGATTCTATATTTATAGTTATAGATATGCCATTACATGTGAAAATGTTATTAATTTTTATTTTCAAGGGATTTCTAAGTCAATATTTTTATAGATATAAATTATAATTTTGATTACAATATTTAGCATACATAATAAAACAAAACTTACACGGCACACCCAAATAATTTCGCAGGACACTTGTACTGCTGCACAGTGGTTGGGAATCTCTGGGCTAACCTCTTCTACCTAAATCTTGGTATGACATATAGCAGTAGCGTTATTTTAGTTTTTGATAGGGGGGGGGGCCTTTTTGACAGACCATACTACCGGGGGGAATATGGAGTTTCGCTCACACGTTTTAACTTAAGGCACATATTTTATATATTATATTGTTATACAACTTAAATTTTTGCAAAATATAATTTTGTATTTTATAAATATTACCTAAACAAAGTTAATTTAATCCTAAATTAACTTTATCTAACTTAATCCTAAATTAATCCAAGCTGTAAGCGGATATCTTCTATTTTTAATTTTTGAATATACATCCACTGCATAATCTAAACTGATTTTTGCAGCAATATCACTTTCAACAACTATAACCAACAAATCACTCTGCCGATAATTTCCCATTGTCAAGCGTAGATAGGTTTTAATTAATTTAAGGGAAGAAAAAAAACGTTCATTGGAAGCAGTTATTACAGGCAAAGTTAAAAGAATATTTACAATTTTAAGAATTTCAGTAAAAGCTTTAGGAAGTTCATTTAAAATTTTAGAAATAGAAAAAATATCATGAATTCCATCATCTCATTCTTTATTAGAATAATTTAAGTTCATTAAGTTAATAAAATTAAAGTTTTTCGCAACCAATTGGAAGATAAAAACTAACGAATCGAAGTCTTCATTTGTCACTTTTGCACTTCGACCTCATAGCTGCCCAGCTATATCAATAAACATCATCAACATTCCTCACTCGACCGAAGTTAAATACCTTGGCCTCATACTTGACAGGCAATTAACTTGGTCTCTTCATTTAAAGAATAAGCGTCAAAAGCTTAATTCCGGACTTTATCTTTTAAGGCCACTCCTTCGTTCTAACATAACTATATCTATCAAAATCATCCCATTTAAAACTCTTCTTCAACCAATCTGGAGATATGGCATAGCAATTTGAGGCTCTGCAAAGAACTCAAATAAAAGAACAATTCAAGCTTTCTAAAACATCTGTCAATGCGTAATCACTGGTGCACCCTGGTTCGTCTCAAATGAGTCACTAAATTCCGATCTCAAATTATCATCCATCAATGAAACTGCTGCTATCTTTTACAAGTACTTCCACTCCAAACTGCGAGACAATCTTAAACAACTAAACAACGAATTAGCTTCACTTACACTCATTGGCAACCCAACTAAACGCCTCATAAGGAACTGGTGCCGCAACTTAATATAGTATCTTTTATAAAAGATTAAGTACTTAATAATATTCAGGGGTGACACAAATGTGCGATTTCCTTCTCGTGTGTATAATATAACCTGTGAATTATCTTTAAAATATTTATATTACTTATTGTACTTGATGTATAGATTATAATTGTTCATAATTATGTCAAACATATTTCCAAAAAAAAAAAAAGTTTTTTCAGTTTGAAATATTAAATTATCAATTTTAAAATGACTATAGTGATTAAGGAAAAAAAAATAAATAGGGACTTTTGAAATTAAAATAATTAGAATTGGAAGATAAGAAAATATTACAAGTAAAAATGATTTCATTGCTAGAATTGTTGAAACGATGGTTAAGTTCATTAAAAAATCTAATAGTCTTGTAAAATGATCATATGTCTATTTATAGTTTATACCAATTGGCAATTATCAAATATTGTGGCAATAAATAATTATCTAGTACGCAGTATTTTCAAAATTATAAAAATATGCTTGATTTTTCACAAAAAACGGTTTATGGTTAAACGACAACGACCGGCCCTTTGGGATGCTTTTAATCAGACAGGGGCATATGCCCAGCTTGCCTCTACCCCCCCACCCATTGACGCCATTGACGTATAGTGTATACACTATCTTTTCGTTCGTATTGGATTTATCACAAAATATAATTATTTTGGATACAATCACAATAATAGATAGTCTATGTTCGTAAACACTTGAATAATAAACATCGAATATATTTTTAAAATCTATAACTTTTTTGTGGTAGTATAAAGATACCCTTGCTATCCCACAAAAATTTCTGGAGTAGCAAAAAAACCCCTCGATACCCCTTAGTGACGCATAAACTGTTTATTCATATATTATATACCTAATCAATTGTGATAATTATAAACAACTTTTTTTTAGATTTTTTTTTTAAGGAATGAATCCTACCAATATGATATTTACAATTTATACATTTTAAAATTTTCAAAAAAATATTTTAAGCCATGCAATAAAAATATACGTATTTTTTACGAATACACATGATAATGGAGGAATACTAAGATAGGAATCCTTAAAATACGTCACCAATTATATTTTAAAAAATAATGACCAATATCTCGACTATCTTCCAAGACTTAATTTTATCAATTAATTATATCTATAACGTCCATGAAAATTATATACTGTATTTGAAACTATTTGGTTAATATTTACTTAATTATGATTATTATTTGTATTTCATATTATTATAATTACTATCAATAATTAGTTATTGCGTTATAAATATTACTCATTATAACTTATTATAATCATACTATTTAATTCATATACCAGTATATAGTGCGATTAAATAGAATTATTGTCAGCGATGATATCCATATATTGATGTCATAATTAGTACGTTTGTCATTAGACATTAGGCATTGCCAAGATATTACGGTGGATCTACTACGCTCTCTAAACTAAATTGATAATACAAACATTTATATGTATTAGGTGTTTTTTTTTTGCTTTATACCAGCGGTTTTTAACCTGTGGTCCGCGGCTCTCTAGGGGTTCACAATACTCATTTCTGGGGTCCGCGACAGCCCTAACACATTAAATAAGTCAATACGTGACATGAGTGCATTATTATAATATTATTGGATTATTATTATTATTAATTTCTTTTTCATATACTTTTTACTATACAATAGATAGATCTTATTTGCATACGATGTTCAAAAACTTGTATCTTAAGAATAACACCAACCATCAAATTAAGTTGATAAAAATTCAATTTTAAGAATAATAAAAATAATTATAAATATGTATGTTTTGTTATGTCTACTAATATAATTTATTATATAAAATCATTATTATAATTTTATTATAATTTATCATTATTATATTTTTAACATGAGATGTTTTGTAAAAAAATAATGTATTAGAAAAAAATTGGTATGAGGGTCCGCAATTTCAAAAAATTTACCATCAGGGGTCCGTAATTTACAATAGGTTAAGGACCGCTGCTTTATGCCATTTTACAATGTTTTACATGTAAGATTTAGACCGTAAAACAAATTATATTAATTAAATATATTATATTCTTATTAATTATTCTTTCTTATTTAAAATCAACAACTAGATGTTATCAGTGAGTAGTTAATTTACAAAATAATAGTAACAGATAGCATAATAAAATGTTTAGGTCGTCAATTAGGCATTTTTGAAACAAAATTCGGTTAGATAGGTACAAACTCGAATTAAGATAATTTTGGACTCGAGGCCAAACAACTTTAGGAGCCGCCGAACAATTTACTTTAGATATGATGTAAATATAATTGAATAACAACATAGAAATTAAGAAAATAAAATAATAGTTTTTTCATTGAAAAGTTTCAAAACATCTAACATATTATAATCTTTTGTATAATTATATGACAATGCCCAATATTTTTAAATTGCTGTTATTATATTTATTATAGTATGATCAACATCTTTTTTGTACAACAAAACAAAGCTTTCAAGACTTAACTAACTTTACTAAAATAAACAATAACAAATAATAAATCCATGTACTAATATAGTATTATTAAAAACATATTAATCGATAAGGAACTACATTTTTTAATGTTCTTAATAGGATCAATTTCATAGCCCCTTCTAAGACCCGGTCTGCTTTAGTTAAATTCATATATATATATATATATGAAATATTTCGTGCATATGAAAGATATACTATAAATTTAGGCTCAAGAGACTTTTTTATCTGGCCCGTGCTATATTTTCAAATTACATCATACAATTTTAAAGTTTATCGTCTGTACTCGAAATAATAATTGTTATCTAAATATTGTCTAAATGCTATATGTATGTATACGTATAGCTTTCAACCATATCTGTTTATACCGAACTATTTAACTATATCAGTTTCTTCGTATCATTCGTGTCGAGCTGTCGTATGTGTTGAATTTATTATTTCGGTGTATACAAATACTATTTAAAATTCATATTTTGAATTACATTTTTTTTTTTTTTGTATGTTCTGGCCCGCTATATTTTAATTTTCTAAAAATAGGCCCTCTAATAACTTTGAGTTGCCCATCCCTGCTATAGACCATTGTTGTTTGTTCCGTGATTTGAATATAGTGAAATTGTAAAATTTAATTCCCAAAAAATCATCCAACAGCATAGTAAAGCTACTGACTGGTAGAATATTTTTATCTAAGTGAAATATAAAAAATTGTACAACATGCTTCTATACAGTGCTTGACTTTTAAGGGGACGCAGGGGGGCGAAGTACCCCTTCTAATTTTTAGAAATCTTAGCGTCCCCCTATTATTAATACGTTATAATTATAACGCTTAACAAGTTTCGGGGACGCAATTTTTTTTTAAGCAAACCGAGTCCCCCTTCTTAAATTTGGCAAATCAAGCACTGTTTCTATGTCCAAAAGCCAAGCGTAAATTAGCTTTTAAATGGATACGTGATTTTATAGCTAAAACAATATACACCAGGATGTTTCTAATCAAAAATAATAATTTAACACTGTATGTTAGGGAACACTGGATTTCTTATCAGTATAACCCCTACTCTTTAATTTTGTTCATTCACATTTGTTGCTATTGCATTTGCAATTTTTTATTTAAAAAAAATTCGATTTAACATTTACCACTTGCTAATTTTATTAGCCTAGCCGTACATTGTTTTACTTGTCTTCTAGATTTCAAATTTTGATATAATTAATTCGCTTGCCTACACATCAAGTGCCATGTGGAGACAATTTTTCGTCTGTTAATAAAAATTATTATTGAGTTTTATTCGTATTTATATGACATCTTTACACAATGTCCGAGGAAGAAGACAAATATACAATAAACGACGTTGATAATGTTGACACTAATCGATCGATCAATGAAGGTGATGGTGATGGTCAATCAGATAGTTTGTTAGTCAACGGTAATGAGAACACTCCTCCATGTCAGTTGGATATCGGACTAGGTACTCACACGGATAGTATACGTGATGACAACAACTCAAATGTCAGCGGTTAGTGTTCATACTTTATACACAATTACATTTAGGTAGTTAGATTATTTAAGAAATGAAAACTATAATTTTTTTATTTTTATAATATTTATTCAAAATCAATTTTGTCAATACATTTTCAATAAATTAAAATTTTCTAGAATTAAAAATGTATTTATATTCATTTTATCATTCATTATTTTCCAATTATTTTTAACCCATAATGTAATTGAAGATATATAAATAACTATGATAATAGTAATTAATGAAGTTGTTTATCAGTAATATATTATGTTCATTTTTTAATTGGTTGAAGTATAACATGCTAAATACTAGGTAGAAATATAGGACCTACTTAGAATATTATGTGTTAATAAAAATGCATAATTATTGGAATGTTGAAGTATGATATTGCTTTCTTTGATCCTTTCTCCTTTCACTAAATTTAAATGTTAGAATGACACAATTTATCACTGCTGTATATTGCATACTAATAAAAAGAAGCTTAAAATATTTTACAATACAATTAGATGGTTAATTTACTTCTTATATTTTTATTATTAAGTATTGGATTTGAATTTAAATTTTTTTTTTGTTAATTTTTTATAATTATACTTTCATCTACTTTCATTTTTAAATTCTTTAAAAGTTTTGATAAGAATTTCAATATTTTTAATATAAAAGTATAATTAAAAAGTTTGAAATAAATTATTTATCTCTAATCAAACTTAATTTGATTAGATAGTTGTTTAGTAAATATTTTTAATTTTGTCTTCAAAACAAATGATTATAAATTTATATGTTAACTGATATTAAAACTATCATTTAAATAACCATTTTATTGTTTAATTTTTACTTAAATTTCAAAATTATTTTGAAACCGACTACCAATCAATTCTTTTAAATAAATATGAAAACAATATTTGCACTTACATGGTTTTATTTATTTTTTTATAATTTTTAGAATATATTAAAAATATATATACTTTTTAACAGATTCTGGAGAAGCTACTGCTTGCAGTATAAAGCGTGAAGATAATCTTTTATCATTTAGACACTTTTTATGCAACAATAGTCCCAATCAAACATCAAAACCTAAAGTTGAAGTAGTGCCTAGTGTATCACAGCCTGTAAGGCCAGTCACTGAAACATCTACTTTACCAGATTTTGTCCAAGATCATCTGACCACAGATCAACCTTATGATAATAATGATCTTGATTCTCGGACAAATAGTATTGATTTAACGCGTGGAATAAATCGACCATCCATGTTTGGCCAACGTAGTAACCGTACACCTCAACAATGTGTGGTTATGCCATTAGATCTTCCATTCACCAATTCAACAACACAACCTCGTGCAACTACTCCAACAACTACCAACAGTTTACCAGACTTTTTGTCTGATGGCCCAATTGGTGTACCGGTTGTTCACCCAGTCACCAGGAATGAACAACTTACAGATCGAAACCGTATCAGCATTACTATCAATCCACAACGTGGTGCTAGACCTACAAATCAGAATTTTACTAGGTTTCAAAGGTTCCTTTAATTAAATTATTTGGGTATCGATTACCTTAGTTTCATTTGATCTGTGATTTATATAATATCAATTTACTATACATATATTGATCTTATATTTTTAATCACACAGATTTAATAATTATAAATTGATAACATTTTTTTTTATTAAATATTATTTTATAGGCACAGTCAAGTAGTTGAAGCTCGAGTGGCTCGATTAGAAGCAACAGAGCAAGATTTAAGAACAACTGTATTGAATTTAAATAATATGTTGCAACAAGCACTAGTAAGTTATACATATATGAATTTAAATTAAATCATATACTTTAAAATATGTCTTGTAATAATTTATTTTCCATAAACTGTATTTAAAAAGGTCAACTTTATTTGTGGTAATTTTAAATTTAAGCATTCATTGGTTTGATTCATAGTACATTATTATAAAAAAAGTGTGAAATCATAAAGCCACTAATAGCTGTACCAATGCATTTATATGATTTCATATTGAAACCTAATCTATGAGGAAAGTAGTCTGTATATGTTTTACCTTAAAGAAAAGTGGATTTATTTCATGCGTGCATTGGCGCAACCTGGATTGGTTTTCGGGGAGTTTGTGAATGTGGAAAAAATAAGCATTTTCTACAGGTGTTTGGTGATGATAAAGAAGTATGATTGAGTTTGGTTTATAAGTATTATTTAAATTACAAATTAAACTGTTTAAATCCTATTTCATATTGTGATAGCACAAAAAAGAGTATTATAAAATCAACTATCAAGAAATCCTAGTAGCAAGGTTATTGATGTTTTAAAGTTGAACGGAACATTACAAAATATTCTATACTGTCATGTCATTATTGTTATCAATTATAATACAAATAATATTCATATTTCATATCAATCTGCCATTTCGCGTATTAAAGATAAACCATTTTTTTTTCCTATGTAGAATTTGTAAAAACCTCAAATATTACGGGAGGAGAAGGGGATTACAACCCCCAATCCTCACTTCTAGTTTCGCCACTGCATGCGTGTAGTAATATATATAAAGATAAATAGATATCATTACTACTCATTTGTGATAATCATTGACCTTGAGCTACTCCTCAATAAATACAATTAGAAGAACATTTTTATATTCATAAATGGATTTACCTTTAATACCAATCCATTTAATAATGTTTGTAACTAAACTAACATTGTACTAAATACATGTAAAAATTAATTTTTATATTTATTATGTTTAGATAAGAGCTCAAAGAGCTGAGGACGAAGTGAGAACTTTGAGAACTTTGTTGAGGGCTAGAGAACAATCCTTTAATCCTGATAATTTATCCATGATTCCATCAACAATTTCAACCGCTGAACAAATACGTCATGGTACACGAAATGCAGAGCTTCTGCTTAAGTGAGTTTTTGTTGTAAACCACTGCAAAATATTCTTATTTATCAAATTAATAAATGATTTTTATGAAATGTCTATACAGTTTGATGAGGGATAATTTTCAAGACTTGAATAACGTAGCAGCTCGTCTTGAGCAACAGGAAACTATTCAGACTTCTAATCACCAATTATCAATTGATCCAAGTGATACAACTACAACTGATGATAATATTACATAACATTCCTGTTATTCAATTATATTAGTTCTACACGTATGATAAGGATTCATTATGTTTTATAAGTATTTGTTTACATTTTGTGCAGATTTATTGCCAAGACTGGACCTCAATTGTTTTGTTTTCTATGTAATAATTATTATTAGTATTATATATATTGCCATCCAATGCTTAAGATTGTATTTTCAAAGTAGAACTCAAGTATAAAGCAATAGTTTTTTTTGTAAATTGTATATTAGAACAGATTATTTTTAATGTAAAATCTAAAATGTAATATCAACATCTTTTTCTATAAAATAATATTGCATCAGACTGTACGTTTCAACGAAACTATAGACTATTAAGGGACACAAGTATATTGATTCAAAAATAAAATCTACTAACCATATTTCACAATTGTTAAGTACAGTTAACCAAGTACATTAATTTTACCTATATAGAACTTCAAATGTTATCACAGTGAAATTTTAGTTGTAGATATGACTAACGAAATAAAATATATTTTATTCATAAAATAGTTTGATTTTCATTGCCTTTTAGTACATTTAATATGAAAATCATAACTCATCAGTAAAAAACTGACATTTATCAAGATCTAAAAAATAACTACACATTCGTCATTTAATGAACATCATACAGAATTAACACAAAAGCAATTTCAAGTTTATGATAAACCAAAAAAAAATAGAATTTATATTATTTTAATTATGTTAGTTGAATCAACAAATTATTGAAAAAAATTAATTGCCTAGGTTTGTTGATATATTTCTAATTTAATTATAATTATGATCATATTTAATCTTTCAAGGTGGAGTTAAATTACATGTGTGTACTTTACATCTACATTTAAATAATTTATCTTAAACTTCCAAAATCTTCTTGACCTGAAGAAAATATAAAACTTTATGATTTTCAAGTTTTGATATGATATATATTAAAAAAATGAGTAAGGCTGTAAATATTACCTTAATATTATATGCTTAGGTAGTGAAGTGTGATTTGTTTGTTAAAAACTTTGAAAAAATATTCATTAAAATTTTTGTTAGAATTTTATCAAAATTAGCTTATTCACACATTGAAATATACTAAATACAATTTCATGTTTAAAATGGTAATAACTATAGCTTCAATCAAATTAAATAATAGTATTGAATGAAAATTCCAATTGTGTGAAATAATTCATATCTTAGTCTTGATTTCAGGTTTCAAACAAAAAATGATTATTTTAAACTCATCACTTTTGTGACAAAGCACTAAAATTATTGTTGGTTAAATATTTCCTATTAAAAAATGTCATGAAAAACCTACACAAAAAGTAAACTTATTAATATTGAAAATATTTAATAGAAAAAATAATTGAATAAATCAACAAGAGTAAAGAATTAAAAATTTCATGAAATTAAAAATAGAGAAAATTGGTTGTTATCAATTAAGTTTCAAAAAGATTCAAACAAGTCAAACCTACATTGTAATGTACTGCAAACAAAATTTTGACAGTAACTAAATATATTATAGCTATTTTACTACATTGTTACAAAATATGGAAATAAATACTACTCGTATAATCAATAGTTTTACTGGTTCATATATATATATAAAAAAGTAAAAGTTAAACTATAATCATAAATTTAAATTTGTATACATTAAACCTAATAAGTTTTTTACTTATTAAATAAAGTAGTATATATTAAATACACTAAACTTAAATATTTATTTAATTTTTTTTAACTCAAATACTGGAACAAATTTAAAAATATTTTATTCGTATTTCAAATATAAAATGAATATTTAACTCAAGAAAAAACAGTAATTAATTTGTTTAAAATAAATTATTAGATCCCCATCTATACTATATAATACTTATTGTGAACAATTTTCACAGCATAACATTTTATAAAGCAACAATATAACTGAAGTTATCAATGATCATTGTATTTTAGAATTTATCAATAATAATAAGAGTATTATAAAACTAAATATATATATGACACAATATCTTTATAATTCAATTTGAATATTGGATATGATTTAGAGTTAATATTATCAGAATAATAGAGATTGGTAGGAAATAAAATATTGTTTCTTTCAGGTATTAAATAAAATCTGTAGGGTTTTACCATTGGGTATCCTTCCTAATCCCATGAATCATGTTATCGGTTTTTTATTTTTACTGTCACTTATCAAACCTTCTTATTATACAAAAAATTATATGTATAGATTGTAGATTTCTACAATAAAATAAAAAAAAAACAAAATAAAATCTCAAGTTATTTTATTATGATTATTTTTTTATTTTTTGACAGGAAATATAATTTGTTAAAAATTCATTACTTCATAATAGCTACTTAATGTATTAGTAAAAAATTATATTTATATATTTATTTATATTATGTTATAAAATATTTTTAAGATGAAATAATTTAATATTAGTAATCTTCAGAATCAGAATCATCAAGAGCTGCTCTCCTTCGATCAAACTAAAAAAAAAAAAAAAATTAGCAATATATCTAACCAAAAATCAACTGTTTAAACAGTATAAATAAATCATTGAAAGAAAAAATGTCAAGTGGGATTTACCTTAACTGTAGTTTTACGCTCTTGTGATTGCATCTGGCTGTTAACTTGTTCTAATAAACCAATAAGTTCATCTTCTCCTAATTTATTGACAATTTGTCCAGATTGTGCCATCCTAAGTAACATATTTTCTACCATACGTCCTTTTTCTGGCTTACCAATCATCAAAGTATTCACTATAAATACAAAATTCAAAATAATGGTTAATATTAATATCTCTAAGTATTCATAGTATAAATTATACGTCTTGCTCGAGCAGCTTGGTTCAATACTTGAGTAAGTATTGAGTGTTTCATATCCTCAACAGCTTGACGCTGTTGTTCAGCTTGTTTTTGTTTTTCAGCAGTATTTTCTCCTTGCAACTAAGCAAACATACATTTTATCATGATACATGATAGAGAAAAATAATATCTCAAATATAGCACTTACTCCTCCTCCGAGTTCCGACTGCATCTGCGACATTCTTTTCGCACGGAGGTTTTCTAACTCTGTGTCTTCCATCTTAGATGTTGGTGACAAACGGTAACTTTTACGTTTAACACCTGAGCACAGATGCGGTTAGATTTTACCTTATCGTAGTTAACTGATTTGATAGGAAAAATTGAAACTGTGCTGGATAGAGAACAAGCATTGGCACAATAATTATTCAATGCGATAAACTGGAAACGTACCAAAACTATGTGTATGGAGTAATTGCAAACGTTTAGTCGTCCAGGATTTCGAGGTTTGAAAGACGGAATACGATATGTAAACACGAGGAACGATAACAGATATCATAGCAAGAATAGTGTTGCCAACACATTATTTACCAGTTAAACCACAGAATTTACTGATAGTCGAATGTTTTATACATAGAGTAATACTACTATATGTATATTTATGTAATAGCAATATTATTCTATCCGGTGATGCCCACACACTGTACCTAGTGTGGCTTAAGCCACACTTATTTTCTGAGTGGCTGCCTGGTAGTATTGGGAAGTAGGAACACTATAATCTGTAGACTTAATAAGTTGTAATATAAATATGTAATAATGTAACATTGTAATTAGTTTAAAGTATAACTAATAACTAACTGTTTATTTGTAATATGAATGAATATAAATACAGCAAGACGTGAACAAGATATAAATGATATAATAATATATTAAATACCACAGATATCTATATTATACTAGATGACGAACTTCCGATATCTCTTGAAGCACCCATTGATTATGTTATCATTTGTCCGCCATGTTTTGGGTTGGCAAAATATTGTATCAACATTATTCCCCACACCTCACAATATTAATTATACACTATTTAGTAACTAATATTTATTAAATATGCCTGTTTCTTATGTTGCATACGGTTGTTCAAATCGCTTTAAAAGTAATTCCTCGATTCACTTTTTTCGGTACGTATGAAGTATAGATAATATGATTTAAAAACACCTCAACATTTACATTTTTAATTGCAACGTATATTCTGTACATTCTCTGTATCTGTATATTCTCAAATAGCTGAAACATTCCAGCCTCATTCGTGCACCGATCCCGAAAACGATACAATTATTGAAATTCAACAATTTCTATCAGCTTCGCTACCTATGTCGCTACCTGCAAAACCCATCTTTCCTGGTGAAATGCAGTATATAATTAAAAAATTACCTCCCGGTAAGGCACCTGGAAATGACCTCATTACAAACAAAATTCTGAAAAATCTGTCTCTCAAAACTATATCATTGCTCACCCACATATATAATTCTATGCTAAGATTTTCCCACTTCTCTAAAATCTGGAAATTTGCAGTCATTATACTTGTACACAAACCAAATAAACCTAACACTTATCTTCGTCATACCGTCCCATAAGTTTACTTCCAGTCCTTGGTAAACTTTTCGAAAAGGCCCTCCTGAAAAGATTACGTCCCATCCTTCAAAACAACCATATCATACCGAATAATTAGTTTGGTTTTTGAAACAGGCACTCAACAATCCATCAAGTTCATCGTCTTACTGATGAAATCTCAACTGCTCTCGAAAAAAAAGAATACAGTTCTGGACTTTTTTTAGATATTGCTCAAGCATTCGATAAAGTCTGGCACGATGGCTTACTATACAAATTAAAACTTTTCATGCCAGCTCCCTACTATCTTATTATCAAATCTTACCTACAAAATCGTTCGTTTGTCGTACGACAGGGGAACGATATTTCATCTACCCACCCAATATATGCTAAAGTTCCACAGGGTAGTGATCTATCCCCTGATATATATAATGTATTCACAGCAGACATCCCTCAATCTAGTAACACCCTTCTAGCAACATACGCTGATGACATAGCTATTCTTTTCTCCAGTCCAAATCCTATTTTAGCTTCAGCTGAACTCCAGGATCATGCTAATAAAATTGAAGAATGGGCTAAAAAATGGAAAATAAAAATTAATACGGAAAAGTCTGTACAAATTACTTTTACGTTAAAACATTCTCCCTGTGAATGCCCTCAATTAATTATGAACAACGCCCCCATCCCTGTCCAAACCAAAATTAAGTACTTAGGCATAACGCTTGATAAAAGACTAACTTGGAGCCCCCCCCCAAAAAGAAAATCATCGAACAACAGACTTCACCTCCTCCGACCACTTCTAAACTCCAAAATAACACTCCAAAACAAACTTATTACATATAAGTCAATCATAAGACCAATCTGGGGTCCAGCAAATCCCTCGAACATCAGGCCAATTCAGGCTTTTCAATCAATTGCGCTAAGGTTAGTAACCAAACTTGGAAAACAAACCCTACTACAGTATATCAGTACATAAACATTTATTTTATATATTTTAATTAATATATATATATATAATAGTTAAAACTAAATATAGTAAGTATAGTGATATGGTTTTGTGTATTTAAATAAGTCATTTTATTTATTGTATACACATTGATTACGAGTATAATATAATCAATATATATTATACACATTATGTAAATAATCAATAGTGCAATTTTAAATTAATATTCTCAATTCTATAATGAAATTTAATTTTGATTAAACGTAATGAAAAATGTTTAATTTAATAATTTAGTGTGTTCAACTATTTTATATAGTGTAAAGTAATATTGTTTTGCCAACCGAAAACATGGCGGACGTATGATAATCTTGCGTCCCCGGGCTTCACTTCTCTCAATGGAAAACATCGGTAGTTCGTTATCTAGTATAATATAGATATCTGTGTTAAATACATATAGATATCTATACATCTAGTGATAATTTATTTTTAGATATTAGACAACGACTGATTAACTATTTTCCCTCACTCTATAACACTCATTTTTATGATTTTGGTTTGGAGGTGGAGGTTGAATATCGACTATTATAAAGATGATAAGACTGTATTGAATGTTATTTTTAAAAACTTTCTGGAATTTAGGAATAATTATATTCTCGTAATATTATTTGCTATCAGCCAACCAGACGTCCAGCGGCACTAAGCCTGAGTGCAGACTAATTTGTATTGATTGACTTATTGTCCATCATTACGATGATTAAATGTGTGCACTGTGCCGTGTGCTTTAAGTTTTTAACTTTGTGATTTGAAAGTTTAAAAGTAAAAGCAATTTCTACGAAGAACTAGAATACGAACATTCAATTTTGAATTTTCTATGTTATTTAAACGTCGGCCGGTTAGTAAAAGTTATTAATAATTATTTATTAAAAATTAATCAAATGTATTAATCAAAATGTTAAATATTTTATATTAATGGTTTGTTTCCTAATTTCATTATTTTAAAGTTTATTTGTAGACAATGACAATTTGCGAAATTTGTGGACGCGAAAGAGGAGATATGAACCCCTACAAATTGGAACAGACATGTGAAAAGCTGTAGATTAAAAGCACCTATACCACATAAACCAAAAAGAAATTTAAATAATGCTTCAATAAAATAATTTTTCACCTAGGAAAGAAAATTATAAAGAATTGGTAAGCTTGACATAATTATGATGTTCTTAATATATTATAATTTATAGGTAGTATTTTATAGTTAAATTTGGAATATCATTAATCAATTAAAATGGTGTGTAAAAATTAAAAGATTTATCTAAAAACTCCAAAAATACTTTAAGCAACTATAAAATGCCCTTAAAAATTAAAAATTGTCAAAAAAGCCAAATAAGTTTTCTTATTCTCATTCAAAAGTACATACATGAAATTAATTTGTGAACCATTAGTTAGCTTCAGAAAACAATATAAAGTGCATCAAAATCTCAGATAGACATACTTATATGGTAAAGCCATTAAAAAAAATTATTTGCATTTATTAATGACAGTTAATTTTTTCAATGTGTTTGACATTCAACATTGGCACATTGTTGGTTAGTTAACTAAATAGTACCTAACTATGTAAAAGGCAACATACTATTAGAGTTTAAAACTTTTATTATTTCAATGATACTTATGATGGCTTGTGAAAACTATTAACTATTAATTAATTGGTAGGCACCTTTTTTAAATAAATATATATAATGACAAATATAAGTATTTTAACTATAATAAATTAACAATATGTAGGTTATATTATTATAAGAATACTGACATCAAAAAATATTTTTTGAATCAAAATTCAATTAGGTAATTAACTAATATCAAGATAATATATTTATACATGTACCACGTAATATACTCAATTATTTTCCTTCAAATGGTTTTAAATTTCAAACACCCATTTTTTAATTTTTTTTGTTGTTTTCATTAGATACTAATAGTAATGATAATACTGAAAATGTAGAAAATAATCAACCTTGTTCTCCTATTCTAAATATAATAAACGATCAAAATGAACAATCTACATCAACTGGTAAGATAATCATAGAATTATATTAATACATTTTTGTAATTTAAATCTGAATATTTTTATTTAGGTTCTACGGGTAGTAATGACAATACTGAAAATGTAGAAAATAGTTAACCTTGTTCTCCTATTCTAAATATAATAAATGATCAAAATGAACAATCTACATCAACTGATAAGATAATCATATAATTATATGTATTTATTATATTAGTATATTTATATGATATTATTTTATATGTATTAAATAAAAACTGACATAATTTGTATCGCGTATTGTTAAAATTATTGAGTATTACCATTGATTATAGAATAGATAGATAGTCAACGCAATGTTAATATTTGGCAACTACTCGTAAGATGCAACCGCTATGGAGCGCTGACGTCGCTGTGATGCAAGGAAGTGGTACCTCTCTCATAGGTAGATGAACGACGAACGCGTTGGGAGCTAGATGCAAGGTGGTGGTACCTCTATCATAGTCATGAAGACGGGAAGGCAATCACGTGGGTCGGCGAAAAATACCGTCTTTCTATTTATAGAATTATTTTTCATGTATAATGAAAAATTGAAGTACCATTATGTTTATTCCCATTATAATCGATAAAATTAGTGATTATTATTTTATTATCATTATTTCGTCAATATTTTACGATTTACTCTGTGAACATTATTACAACATTATTAGTAACTTATTTTGTTATTTGTATATTATTTATCAAACACATATAAACTGATTTTTTGTTTTGGAGTTTTGGTGTAGGTACCTATAATGAACAATATAGGTAAATCTATATAAAAAAACTATATCACTAAGTTCATGTTAAGTACTAATTAATTAATAATAAAAAACAAATAATACCTATTTAAAATTTTGTTTTAAATATTTTTATAAAAGTATTTTAATAATGCTTTAATACATAACAAAAAAAGTATTATTTATTACACTGGAGTAATAATAGTTGGATACTTTATTTTTTCTTTCTTGCTTAATTATCAAAACATTGTATAATTAGTATGGTCATTACACCAATAAATTTCCTTAATACCTATGTATGATTATTTTCAAACAATTGTTATATTTGGTTTATCTCTACGTCTACAGAAAACTCAAGTTTGTTCTCAATTGAACAGGAAAACCTTCACAATAGGTGCATTTGTCAAGAGCATTTCCCCCCCGAGAGCTTTACAAATATATTTAATAAAATCCGTTTAGTAAGCACTGCTATTCCATATAAATATAAATTTGAGCAAAAACAACAACCATCTACATTATTAGGTTTTAACCAAAATGATGCATCTGAACAAGAATGTCTTACAATTTCAACTCCAGTAAATACTTATACACACACAAAATCAGACATGGTAGAGTTAGTTTTTTCTAGCCCCTCTTCATCGTTATCTACTCCTAATAAAACTAAAATTACAGATATAATACAAATGCCAGACTCAAATTTAAAAAGGAAATGTGATTTGTTAGAAAAAGATACTCCTAGAAAATTAATTTTAAAACAAAAATTAAAACAAAAAAATAAAATTATTCATAATAAATTCACACATATTTCAAAATTAAAAAAAGAGGTAGATGTTTTAATCGCTATAATAATTTAAAAAATTCAATAAATTTACATAAATTTTCATCAATTAACTCCAAAGCAATTGTGACTATGCAATTAAAAGATAGACAACGTCCATGGACATTAAATGAAAAAAATTTGGCTTTAAATTTATATTATAAATCACCCAGTACATATACATTTTTACGTTCCCAAAAAGTAAATTTACCAGGACTTTCAACAATTCGTCTTTGAATAGGTCAATCAAAATTCTTACCAGGTTTTAATCAAATATTTTTCAGTCATCTTAAAAAAAAAAATTGAATCAACTGATTATAAAGAAAAAGTATGCACTGTTTGTTTCGATGAGATGTATATAAAAGAATTTATAGAATATTCCAAAGAATTTGATTTCATTGAAGGTTTTGAAGACTAGGTCAATATGGCAGGACAAATAAAAGTGCTAACTGTGTTCTGGTGTTTATAGCTCGAGGTATTTATTCACCGTGGAAATTTCCAGTCGCCTTTTTTCTTTCTCTTTCTGGTGTTGACAAAATCAATTTAAAAAATTTAATAATTGACGTCCTTAAAAATTTATTTGAAGTAGGATTGTGTCCAAAAGTTGTTGTTTGCGATCAAGGCACAAATAATCAAAGTACTTTAAAATCATTAAATATTTCAGAAGATAGCCCATATTTTTATGTTGATAATAATAAAATATTTTCTATATTTGACGTTCCACATTTAATTAAAAGTGTAAGAAATAATTTAATTGAAGCCTGTTTTATTAAAGGTGATATTATAATCTCATTTGATGACATAAAAAAATCTTATGAGTGAGACATAAAAAAATCATAAAAGTAGGTCTCTCATTAAAATAACAGATGCTCATATTTATCCAAATTCTTTTCAAAAAATGCGTGTTAAATTAGCCACACAATTACTAAGCAATTCAATGTCAGCAACAATCCGAACTTGCATACAAACAGGACAACTTCTAAATAGCACTGCTTCAAACACGGCAGATTTTATTAAGTTCATTAATAATTTATTTGATTGTTTAAATAGCCGGTCTTTATATAGCCATAATCTATTCGTATATCTCTGCGCATTAACTGATTCAGGTACTGTAAAACATTTTTTATTAGAAGCTTCGCAATACTTCACAGATTTACATAAATTAAAAAACTGAAAATTAACACAACCCTGTTTTAAAGGTTTTAAGCAGACCATGGTGTATTGCAATTTTTTGAAGAAGAAAAATCTAATGATATAGTATTTTTAATGACCAACCGTTTGAATCAGGATGTATTAGAAAATCTTTTTAGTATTTTTCGACAAAAGGGTGGTTATAACAAGAATCCAACAGCCAGAGCGATTAGGATTTCGATAAGAAGTAATTGTATTTTTTCTTTATGCACATCTACTAGAACAAATTGTGAGAAACTGTTGAAAAACTGAGTAATTTCGGTAAAATCTGTAAAATTCCGCCGTAAACGGATTTAATCATATCATTTAAAATAGTAAATCATTAGGTACGAGTGCTAGGAATTAAATATCAATAAAATGTATAAATAACTCTGACCACAATGGCGCAATGCAATACTGAGTTATGAGCACCCGTGGCCCGTCCCGCCCAGTACGGCAGCGCTCGACACTCGTTCTGTATTTATCTATACAGATTATAAAATAATTATTTTTTCTATTATACAACGCATTCTATCGGCAGCTAGAACAAACATAATTTTAGTAGCCTAATATCTCTATACCATGGACTATCTATCTATTCTATAATCAATGGTATTACGAATAGTTTTTAACTTATGTCTACATTAATACACTATAATTATCATACAATTAATATTCAGTTTCTTGCTTATTAATTTAAAACATAATATTTTTTTGATTTCAGAAAATTTTACTTTTCCAGAAACATTATGTATTTCAACTTCAACCCAATCAAATTTGATTTATGTAAATGATCCGGCTAAATTTCATTCATTTTTTAATATTACATCAGAATTTACTGATATGATAGTACGAAAAGAGCCTTGTCAACCTACCAATAATATTTTTAAGTATCCAACAAATGAGGAGCACAGGAGTTTTCAAGAGTCGTGGTTTACAAAACATTAAATGATGGGGCTTTGGTTAATAGAGATTGGTTATCATATTCTATTTCCACAGATAAAATGTTTTGTTTTCATTGTCAGATATTTGGTAGAACAAAAAGAGACAACTGGATCATTAATGGTGTAAGTAAATGGAAAAATGCATTACATAAAATTTTAATTCATGAAACATCATCAAATCATATATGAAATATATGATATATATATATGATCATATATGATCTATATATAGATGCATCTTTAAAATTTAAATTGAAAAATCAAATATTACCTATTATTCCATCACTGACCGAAAAAAGAAAATTTGAAGTCTTCTGTAACCGTGAAATAGTAAAAGAACTTATCGACATCACATTGTTTTTAAGCCACCATTCTTTAGCTTTTCGTGGTCATTGTGAAAAATGGTCAGATTCATTGAGAGGAAATTTCAAAGATTTAGTAGAACTTGTTTCAAACTATTCCCCTACAATGGCACCATACATTTCAAATTTAAAAAATAAAAATAATAAACCCCAGTGGTCTTTCATATCATGGTGGAGACAAAATGAACTCATAGAATGTATATCAGATGAAATTTTCGGAATCATATTTAAAAGTATGAAGGATTCTCCTTTCTTTAGTGTTTCATTTGATACAACATTTGATGTATTTCGATAAGAACAATTGTCATTTATTGTTTGCTACATCGATCAAAACTCTGGTAGTATTTATAAACGCCTAATAGCTGTCCTAGAAACACCCATAACAACAGGTTGTGAATTAATGAATATCTTTAAACAAACTTATGATTCACTGAACTTAGATTAGAAAAATCATTTTGTTGGTCAATCTTATGATGGTGCTACCAATATGAGGGGTAATTATAATGGACTTCAAAGTTTAATCAAAGAAATTAATCCTCACGTTATTTATGTTGGGCACACCGATTAAACTTGGTAATTACTGATGTCATAAGTTCAGGAGTAAATGCAATGAATATATTTGGAAATTTAGAAAAATTATATGATCTAATTAATTATAGTAAAATTAGAGTTATGTATTTTGAACATTTTTAAAGAGAAAGGTATAATAAGAAACAAATTCGTCGAAGGTTAGGTTAGGTTAAATTAGGTCTTTGGAGTAATTCTGTAAGTACCGAGTCATATTTACCTAACAATTCGATTATCGCTAAAAATTTACTTTTGCTTTTTGTCTCATTATTTTCTCTGTGGCCACGAAATGGAATATCTTCAGTTGTGAGTGTCAACGTTGTAGTTATAATTCTATCCAATACCAGTTTCCAATAATTTGCTTCATCTCTGATTTGCTTTTCTTGATTTTCGTTGATTGTGTTATGATTTTGAAATGAATAAAAAGCCATGCATGCCATTTTATGAGGTATAGATTTTTCATGTTTTTCAATTCCTCGTGATGTATGGGCCCAATCGTTAAATCCTTGTATTCATTCTTGGTGCTTAATATTATTGTCTCCAAAAAGCCAACAAGGTTGGCAATAACATTTTTGGAGCTCCAGTGAATAACAAAATTACGATCGTGAAATATGCAGTCCAGCTTTTGATACGGTGAAATAAAATGATTCGTCAAAACATCGTCCACCCGCGTTACGACTGAAAGGACCACTTGGTCTACAAGGACCATGTTCAACAATAAATTTTTTGTCTTATATTATTTGTTTTAATATAATAACAATAAATAATAATTTATCATCAAGTTGCACCACTGTTTCCTTCTCTGTACACTCCATTTAGAAGAAAAAAATCTGTATTCTATGTAATATTCTCTTTGGTTGTCCTTCCCTAGCTACCAAACGCAATATCCTTATAAGTCTCTCAATAACCCATTTAATACTTTTTTAAATTTGAATTGAATTCTAAATTTCAAAATCTGTTCTCATTCTAATTATTTCCTTTATTCACAAGGCTAGGTTTTGTATATAATCTTTTATTATTTTAGTATTTTTATATGATATATTTTATGTATTGTATTTTTATTAATTAATCGATGTATTTGATTATAATTGTCGAGTTTAATAGTATTTCCAAAAGCTTTTTAAATAAAAAAAATAACTTTATAGATAGAATAAACCATGTAGACAACAACTTATCATTCTAAACCAGTATAATGTATTTATGAATTAAATTTATTCGATCGCACAAAAAATTACTTACGTATTTAAATATTTGCTGATGAAAAATAATTAGGTACCTTTGCAACTTCTGTGTTCATGAACTATGATGTGAACACTATCATAGACGGGTTCAAAATAAAATCGTACAATTCAAACGTACAAGCCGATGTTCGTTTATGTTATTAATGTTATTAAATTAATTATATCAAGTAATAATAATAATAGAATATAAATGGTATATTATTGGTAATTTATCATCTCCCGATTTCGGGGCAAAAATAAATACTAATACTAAAAAATAAACTATCAACACCGTCGATCAAGACAATGTTAATGATGTCAACTACGCGTCGATACCATGGCGTTAAACGTGTTAAATATTTGGAGTTAAATAATATAGTTAACTTTTAGTAATATTACTTAGATTATGAAAAAGCTTTTGGCGCTCGGTGCACACGTATCTCTTGCACCCCCCTAGGCACGGCCCTGCTTATATATTGAGCCCGGATCCATTTGTAGCGGCTGACGAAATATAAATGTGAAACAACTCATCGAATTCTATTGACTTAATATTATATTATAGTAATATACTATAATATAACAAACGTAGATAAACATAGGTGCCAAGTACATGGGTGCTCGGGTGCTCAAGCACCCATTGAAAATATTCATTCGTAAGTCGAAATTAGAAAAAAAAATTTTTTTACTTTTGTTGGATGCACTGTATTTTTAATAAAATTTAGTATAGGAAGTGAGAGGAAAAGCCCTCACTAATACTTGACGTCAGTTGGACACAGGATTTTTTTCGGGGAGAGGGGTGTTATTCTATTAATAATTTACTATAAAGATAAATATTGTATAGCCCTAACATTATACTAGACCTCGAAGAAATTTCGAGGGGGGGGTGAAACCCCTTACCCCCTACAACCCTGCGTGCACCACTGCTTGACTTTAGTAAGAGCACCCAATACATTTTTGAAAACCTGGCGCCTATAATTACATTAGATGTTTTCTGCTTCTAAAAATATTATAAAGCATATTGTATATGACTTATAGTAGGTACCAGAATCATTTTTATTCTACATACCAATTTTTTTAGTAACAATATTATAATTGTTATCTTATTCCTATTTAATAATAATATTCCTATTAAATGTCCATTTAATAGGAATATTGATTCGTTTTGAATTAATTAATTATCCGCTTAAGTAAATTGTTGACAATTATTATCATCTTTCCAAAGATCAATAACATAAAACTATTAGTTTAAAATTAAACATAAAGAGTTGTACAATGTCCAAAGTTTATAAGTAAGTTTAGTTGTTGTAATAAATGGTATATATAATATTAGACTAATTTTTATTTATTTTGCAATATAAACTTATATAATGTTGACTAAATACACCATGACTTATCATAAAGCTCTATTTGCTGTCAATATTTATGCTACATTTTAATCAAAATTATATTGAATAAAAATAATTCAAGGATATGGTCCAATTTGACCAACAACATAATCATCATTGTGATGGCCAGTTCTTCTCTAGAATGTAAAAATGTCATGATCTCTATTGAGCTGCTGAACATTTTCTTTGATAACTTTGGTTAGGTTTTCTCTTCCTGCTCTTAATTGCATATCTATGACCAATCGGATTAAATAAATGATTTAATTAATAAATGAAAAGCCATACACATTTTAAGAACATTACTTGGAAGTTTCTTTGTTTTTGTCTAAATTATACAAAAAACTGATTTTCAATAATAGCCATTAATTCTGTAAATAATAAATATAAACACATTACCTACATTAGTATTTGATAACAAATTGCAAATTATAGAAAAAGGTTTCACAGAAACACATTAACACATTAAGCAGATGTTACGGACGTACATAGATGTAGGGTAGTATAAGTATACCTTATAAGTATCATTGTTTGCGGGACTACATACCGTATAATTAATATTAGAATTACTCTTATATAATTATTATAAATAGGCACCAGCAGTACGGTTACAATAGCTATAGGATTATGGGCGTTTTTCAAATAATAATACGTAAATACAAATCACACGATAAAATATAAAACATGTGAAAAGTGGTTATGCAAAATGCAGAATTCACGAGGTCAACCAATTATATAATAAGTAATCTAGGGTTGGACGCACAGTAATAATAACTTGGATTTCAGAAAATTGTCTGGCATATTGTGCGATGACATTGTATCCATCTAATACACAAACAATGTATGTCTTGAGGTATTGCTGGCTTTCTGAGAGAGCTTCTCATCTGACAGCTTGTATATAAGTGTAATTACAAGAGGCCTCTGTGCATTTTAGAACAACATAAATCAAGATTTAAATTATTATTTGTTTGTATAAAGCATGTATGTCTAAATTTAATGTATAAGTACAAATAATTATAGACATTAAATAGTTAATGAAATACAACTTACTGGATAATTGTATTGTTGTGAATAGTTCTTACAGATGTATTGGTTGAATCAAGTCAGATTACTAATTGCTTCTCTCAATTATGGTACATGTAAGTCTATATTGTCGGCCCGATGGTTATTAGGATTAAGAAGTGAAATTCTGTTGTCCATATTATCCCTACTTATTGATGCACTGACAGTTGACAGATATTTTCAATAATATAAATATAATACATTTTCACTAAAATTAAACCCCTTTTAAAACACAAAAAATACATGTTGTAGTAATAATTTATTTACTACGAATACTAATACTTGTTTTTATCTACCTATGCAAAAACATAACAAATGTACTTGTGTTAATTTTATCCAATATCACCTTTCGTAAAATATAAATTTATTTTATAATCAATAACACGACGTACCATGAAAACCATTCAAATCATTTATATTTGAATTACTTGAATATATATATATATATATATATATATATATATAAAGTTTATTAAGATTTATGATTACATACTAGAGCAGTGGTAGGAAGTTTTCTTAATATAACGTATACAGAAAATATTTTCGAGAGGGGCTACTATGGACAGAGTTAAACTACCATTGCTATCTAAGAATTACTAACAAGACACAGTAAGTACTTATCTACATTTCATTTACAGAATGACCCAAAATGCCAAAATGATTTGACATTGGACGCAAATTCTAAATAAGCATAAAGCACCATTAAAATATAACATACGTTTAAAATAATTTTTAAGTTTTTTAAAACATTTGAGAGGGATGGCTGTAGCCCACTATGCCCCCCCCCACTATATATACCACTGTAACGTACCAAAAATTACCTGTTTTTTTTCTTCCTGCATACTATTATTTTAAGAAAAATATTATTTATGTATAAAAATTATTTTTTAATTTAAATATATTTATTGTATTTATTAAGAATTAAAAATGATAATTCAATTTATACAAATAACATTACTTAAGTATTTATTAGGTAATTTTCTTGACAGGTATGATTATAATTTTTGTACATTGATGCTAATTAATTTATATTCAGTTTTTATAATTGTAATTTTTAATTTAAT